GTGATAATTATTAATAACAGAGAGAGAAGAGAGACAGAGAGAGAGAGAGAGAGAGAGGAGAGAGGGAGAGAATATGGATTATTCAATTATAATTTTTATTCCGCAATGAATGAGCTTCCGGTTAAAAGACAAAAAGGAAGTGAGAAATACAAATGTACATAGAATGAAAAAGGAAACGCGATGATGCAGTCAATGCTGTTTTCTTATTGCGCGGAACGTATTAGTAAACGTGAAATAATCTCGAAATTACGAAACATTTCGATAAAGAGATGTGCGTTTGGTTAAAAGTATTTAAAAAGATAATGTTAAAACAACGAATGGAAACAAACCTCACTCCACCTTTCTTGATTCGACTGCAATAAAATTTACATTTTATTATCGCGATTCGTTCCACAGATATTGATGTCTGAAAGCAGTTTGTATTCGAATATCTATGGAAATATTTTTTTCTCTCTGTTCGCATAATATGCGTACTTTACACTTTATATATATATGTATATATATATATGTATACTTCATTCTTCTTTATTCTTGTTTTTTACAAAAATCTTCTTCGCGTAAGAAAAGAAATTACGAATAATATCATTTCGACGCAAGTCTTGTCCGCTAAAGCTTACATTTAACAATAAACGTTTCTATATGAATGTCTAATAGAGAGTGAAAAAAAAAAAAAAAAAAAAAAAAATAACTATTAATTAAGATTCGTTAAGGAAGCACCCTGAATCACTGTATAACAGTTAAGTCCTATCGCTAAAAATCGCGAACAACCGATAGCGTTTTGTGACTTACACAATGTGCTTATACAACTTATATTTCTAACATAATCTATCGTAGATTTACATATTTTAACGAACTGAATAATCAAGCGATGTTACAATGTATCTCTTCGTTCCTCGATGATCATGCAATAAGATATTATATGTACATCGCTATTGTTCCCGATATCATACATACGTTCCAGTTTGGACTAGTTTCAGCCGTAATGAGACCATATATACACGAGCCAACATGTATCCATGATCTCGACTTGCGACTTTTCGCTTCTTTGATTCTTGAGGTGCCAACATTTACATACACACACACATACACACAATATACAAGCGACCACAATTCTATGGCTCCTTCGTTTTTTTTTTTTTTTTTCTAAACATAACTCTCATCGTCAACTACGGATCTTCCGTATCCTAGATGTCTAGTAGTAACCGAGGCACGTGGTTGAGGAGGCGGACGATAAGGAGGCGGTGGTGGTAGAGACCTTGACCTTCCGGCCACTTTGTGCCTGTCTTCCAGATTCATGTGTACTGGCGGCAGATGCCTCAATCTCGGTGGAAGCGGTGGTGGTGTATCTGGCCACGTTCTCTCTTCCTCGTCGTCTTCGTCACCGTACAAATCGATTGCCTCGGCCTGCTTGAAAGAGTACAAATCGTTTCTCTCTCTCGAGCCATATATCTCGCTCGTTCTATCCCTGTTTCCGTAGATACTACTTTCAGATTCGTATCTTTCCGTACGCGTCGTCTCTTTATTCACGTATATCTCGCTCTTCACTTTCTTAAACTCGTAGAGATCGCTACCCGAATGGTAGCTACCGTTCTGCGAGACGGGTGATTCGCGATTAACATACATTTCCGACTTGACCTTTTTGAACTCGTTGAAACGTTCCTTCTTGAATTCGTATCTGTCGCTAGTCAACGTCGTATCTCCCGACAGATCCTGTTCCGAATTGTGAATCGAGACCCGTTCCGTGCAAATATCCTGCTGCGTTGCTCTTTCGTATTCAGACCTAAGATCCCGCGCAATGTCCAGCTGGGAGTTCCTGTAAATGTCCTTGCAATTCTCTACGTTCTCCTTCATGGAATCTTGTCTGAGATATTCCCTCCCGTAGATATCCTTCTCGTCGAACCTGTCCTTGCGATGATCATGTTCGTCCAATTTGGTCCTCGGTGTTCTCTTCAATTGTGCCCTTAACCAATCTTGCCTTTGGAAATTCGGATTAGGGTAACCGATGCTGTTCTTCTCCTCTCTGAAATTATGTTCCACGGTATTCGGATGATGATTATTCGCCGTGTAACCGTTTATTCTCTCCTCCCATCCACCGTAAACACGAATATACGATTTGTTGGTGGACTTGTCCTCCTTGGTTAGAGACTTGTCGAAACTGGATGACGAGGCATTCACGGCGGAATCCTCGGAGCCGACAGGAGATTCTGGGATGAAGAGTTGACAATCTGACAAGGTCAGACCGGAGTCTCGAGAGAGAGACATGTGGTCCTTGCGTGGTGGTTCCGTCAGGTCCAGGCTGTCCAGAGAAAGCCCACCTGCTGCAACGAAAGAAATTCCTCAGTGGATTATCTATACGCTCGTTCACGAGTTGAACGATAACGAACGAAGCATACATCGTACGTTCCATCTTGGAGTTGGAGTTTTAGTAAGTAAAAAGAAAGGATAAGTAATAAAGGGGAGGAGAAGAAATATAGAGATAAAGTAAAGTGCTCACAGTGAAGGCTATCGGTGCTTTCTTCGGCTCCGCTGTCGCTGCGTTCTTCCCCGAAAAGCTGTGTGACGCCTTCGCCGAACAGAACCTCGCAATGACGAATCAACATTTCCGTCAGCGTAGGTATCGCTCTACTTTGATTCACAGATGGATTCGGAGACCAGAGTAAACTAGGTCCACAACACACGCCCAGATTGCTGGCACACATGAGATTGTGCTTCGACCGCCGTGCCACGTGGTGTAAAACGCAGATTAAATGCGACAGCAGGGTATAATTCGCTTTGGGTAATCTATCTAGAATACTGAAATGATCGTCGTTCGTTAAACGTCTTAAGGAGAAACTTAAACGTTAAACAAATATATATCAATTCGTTTACCCACTTTTTAATAGTTTGAACTGGATTTATTGTTTCCAAACTTTCCATCCAGAGGGGAAACAGGTGGGAAGTTAGCAAAGGATCCGGCAAAGATCTCAAAAAGTCTTTAAGCAAAGCTGCCACCGCTATGATAGGGGCATCTTCCAAACAGCTGGGGTCACCAGTGGACTCGATTTGATCCCGTAGCTCTCGTACGATTCTAACGTTGGCCGATTTTCTAAAGATTCCCTGCGTGAATGGCCCCTTGGCGAACAGTTGTTGAAGCATGACCAGCACAGGTTTGGGTAATCCGTTCTCGTCGAGTCTGGACAGATTGACCCCGAATAAACTCGGATTCAACGAGAGGGATCTCCTGAGCAATCCAGTGATCTTCGATTTATTCTTCTTCACCGGTGACTTCGGTACCGGCCTTAATATAAAGTGGCACGTGTCGTGGCCACTTTTGTTACAATGTTCCAGATCGAAACCCTCCTCGGCGGACAGGGTGTGCCGTAAATTCGACAGTTTGACCGCAAAAGGCCTCTCGTGCCCTATTAATGGATAGGGCGCTTCGTCCGCGGACGTTCTGGCCCACAATTGAAAAGGTCCTTGAAGATCCAACAGGCGAGTGGCCAAATTGACGCAAGCAGCCGCTGTCATCTCGGATCCGACCATGATCGTCTTACACTGCGGAGGAAACAATGCGGATATGTAGCGGTCGCAACACGAATAACAAGATCGCGGAACAGGAATCGCAGCGCACAGGTGTACACACGACGAGAGAGCACGCGTTAGACGCGATTATAGCGATTAGAGACAATTATTAGAGAGGATGGGTTCTCGTTGGATGGCGTCGACGATGGCCAGCTTCCGGCAAACGTTAAAGGCGCTCGCGTGTCACCTAATAGAGGCATCGAGCGGCGCATGTATTTAAATACAACGCGGCTCTGATCGATAACGACCCAAGTCGTAGCCAAGAGATTAGAGAAGGGGCCTCCTCCTCTTTTTAGCAGAACCGATCCACTCCGTTGACGTCAATGAATATAAAAAGGGGATCTATCTCGAGGAGGAATGCCTGGAGGAAGGTCGCCACTAGGTCTCTCTCGCCTGGGTGTAGGATATGTGCGAAGAATGGACCGTGAAGGCGTGACTGCATCTCTTTCTCTCTCTCTCTCTCCCCGTTTAGTTTGAATACCGTCGTCTGTGTATTGCGCGCGGCGACGAAGAGGAGTATGCTGCACTTACGTATTCCGTGTTCGTGTCACTGTCGTGATACACGACTTGAATGTTCGTGTCCGGCGGCTCCTTCATACTCTCCTCTCGTACGAGTTCGGTCAAACGTCCCCACCAGAGATCCCTGGCTGCAGCAGTCCTGAAAGAACAACGAATAAAACGTTGGTGCGACGCGTCGCGATAAAACCGACACCTCGACGATTTTTATCGAACGATATATCTCTTTCCCGCTTCCTCCACCCTCGAGTTCACGAGTTTATTGCGTTTATTATTTATTCTTTATCTCTCTAGAAAAAAAAAACAAGTCTCGAAGCGACGCGAAATCCGGACCATTCATTTACGAGGGGGTCAAGGTGAGATGGAAGTGTAAAGGAGAGAGAAGAAAAAAAAAAAAAAGGGTAGCAATAACACGGATTGTCAAGAGATGGCGGTGACGTACATAAAAGTGGCGACGACGTTCGTGGTGGGCCAACCGAGGACGAAGCTCGTCTCCTGGGACTTGCTCGTTTCGGCCACGTCCTCTATGTGGCCGGCAGTTAGCCATAACTCGCTCATTCTTACGGATTGTTTCAGCTTGAAGTTACCCCCGTTTCGTGCTTTCGCTATGAGCAACAGATCCGAGAAGAGAAAAAGGTGTCTGTCCTGGGACTGCACACCCTGAAAATAAGGGAGAAGATTCTATTGATGCGACGAATTTATATTAACTCGATCGATATCGAATGTATTACTTACGGTGGTGAATTGTACAGGAGTCTCCAGGAGGAAGGTTCTAGGCGGAGATTTCGGGGCTGGTGAGTTGTTGGACACGTTCAGAGATTTTTGCGACAACACTCTGGTAAGCCTTCCAGGATTTCCACCGTTCCTCTTGCGAATAAGACTCTTCATTTTCTGAAACGAAACAGACCCATCTCGTGAACGAGATCAATAACAAATTATCGCTGCTATCTTTGGATTAAAGGAGATACCGTTCCACGAGGCGGAACGAGATTCCAACGAGATCCTGGCCAACAGATCCTAACCGACTTGGCCAATTAACACGTCTATCGTTAAGTACAAATATATGCGCGCGAGGAATTGGATATTGGTAATCGTGGACGTGGATGTACCCATCGAGCCTGGACAAGGGATTAGCATTAAATTATCCTTGGTATCCACCAAGGATACCCGTGGACTCTATCCACTTATCGTTGTTAAAGGGTCAGAAAATAACGACTAATTTTGATGCCTAGGGATCTAGGACATAAATTATTATCATCCTCGCAGCAGGTGTCTAATAACTGGACGCCAACGTGCCAAGCCGCATTAACTTTCGGATAACTTAAACAGCATTATTTCACCGTCACTGGCCGACTCGTCTTCTGGAGGCCCGCTCCTTCGAAATTTTCACTCGGAGCCGGTTGTTAACCGAACGAAATCACGGCATGCGAACCGTTGCGATCCGTTTGGCGGAAGATCGAGCGGAGATTCCATCCGTTGAAACGATGCACTTCCAGCCGAGAGATTCCAGACGGGAGATCGAGAGACCGGTGACGTCGAGACCGTGGATAGACACGGATGAACAGTTACGTCTGACAAATAGCTCTCCTCCAAATATGGGGGGAGACGAGACACACACGAAACACGAAATTACAAGCCGATTAACATATTTCTCTCTCGATCTTTCTCTCTCTCTCTCTCTCTCTCTCTCCTTAAATCGAATCGACTCGCGTACGACGAGAGAAATCGTGCACTGCTGCTAAATACTGTTTCGTCTCATTGAATTGCCGCGTGTTAATGAAAATGCCGCGTTAAAATCAAGGTAACGCGACGACGACGACGACGACGACGACGACGACGACGACGACGACGACGACGACGGTGATTCTACGCAATTCGTGGAAACGTTCCATCATCGCGTTCACGGGAATACGAATGATGGGTTGCGCGCAAGGTTGCGAGAGGAGAAGCATTGGGAAACGCGAGCACGCGTTTCACCTATGCAAAGAGCGATCTATCAGATGCCACGTACTCCCTCCTTGCTGCTCTTGACAATACACTCTTTACGCCCAGTATGCAGATTAGATTGCGGTGCACGTGGGACGATGACACGGAGAGACGTGTCATAGATAGAATGAAAATCTGTATCAGCCAGATCCGTGGTGGCTTTGTTTAAGGATTGAAATGAGGAATGAGTAGACGAATGAGTATGAGAGAACGATTTTTACCGTCGATTGTGAATAAAAAAAAAAAAGAAAAAATTATCGCATCTCCTCGCAAAACTCCACTGTTTCATATTTTCCATATTAACAAATTGAAACGAATTATTGCTTAAAGCCAGAAACTCCAATTTCTGGGCGAGAGAAAATGCAAGAAACTTCCTGTTTAATCTCGCAACAACAATTTCAGTGATACATCAACACGCGCGAACAGCATAGTATTAGATATCGTCATGGTGGAGTGTTCCGTGAGATGCGTGGGAAACACCATGCGCGGTGAACGTTTTTCCACGAGCGCGAGGAAAAATGGTCTCGAGCTCGGCTCGTGAGAATCGTTTCCTTTTTACCCATAACCGACGCTGTTTCCAGCCGGAAATCATTCTGTATTCGTCGAGACTACTTTTGCAAACGGATACGTTTTAAAACACGTATATTCATCGTATAAGGGAGGAAAAACTCGATGGATCTTTTATATAAGAATAATAAATCGCAACGAGGTGCGGAGAGAAATAAATACCGTGGTGAGGACATCTCGCTCGTGTAGCCGGAGATTATCGCCAGGGAACAATTCCTGGATACGGTGAAGATCTCCCTCCAGTTGACCGCGTTGGAGAACGGCGCCACTCCCGACGCTTCCGTTCCGTTCTCCACTAGATTCCTCGCCTCTTGCCCCAGGTACCTCTCGTATTCGGCCAACCTCTGGACCTGCAACACCCACCAATCATTTCCTCGTTAGAACGATGTTTCCATCCAATCGAACACGATTTTCGCGCGATTCCACGCGAAGCAAATTGCTTTAAACGCGGCTATAATCGATCGAAACGAAAACGAAGGAAAAGGAAGGCACGGTGAAATAAGAGGAGCTCGTTTCCCCTGGAGGGGTTCGCGGTTGAGTTAAAGAAAATTAGCCGTAGCCGTAATACAGTAATCGAACGAGCCGATCGAAATGCAAAGTGCACGTCGAAAGATCGACATCGACGGAAGTTCTTTTCTGGTACGATCGCGATAATCGTCGGTCCCAGCGACGATACATCGAGGCGAGTTATGTAAATTGGCGGCGAGTCACCGTTCAATCACGTCGCGGTGCCGTTTCGTTCGAGCCAACTCGAGCCCGATGGAACGTAATGTAAGTCACTTCTTCCCGTGACGCGATCGCTTGATTCATTGCTTAATTGTTACGAGGCACGAGCGAGCGCGTCTCGCATCGCTCGTGCTCGAATTTCCACCAGCTGTTTACAATAAACCACCCACGTGCTTTTGCCCACGATTCCACGGACCTCGTGCCAACCTCGTTGGATAAATATAAAATTGCTCGATCTCGATTTATACGAGCGTGAGGCAATCGAGTGGCAACAAGACAGACAAGGTGGTATATCGCCAATTCTCCCTTCGCTAATCACCAAGGGTAAAAGGTACAAAGGTTTTTTATTATCCTCGCCCCGTTTATCCTTCCACGCACCCACTCGTGCCTCGAAATTTTCAATTAAAATGCGACCACCGTGCCAACGCCACCCACTCGGAACAGTTGCTTTCGCAACGTTCATATCCACGATCGATCTCTGGTTGTTCCAGAATCGGATTTGGTGTCGATCGTTGTTCTTGGATCATCATTGGACATCCACTCAAAGCCATGGTGGTGGTTAATCCCGTGAGAAGGAGAGGCTTAAGAAGAGCCATTGACGAGCCAAAATTTGATTCTCGATATCGACGATCGATCGATCGATCGGATCGGATAATCCGTATTATCATAAGCCGGTACACCCTTGTTACGATGCTACGGGATAAAATCGGTCAAAGTTCCTAAGTCGATGGAATTCTTTTTACACATCGTGAAAGTTTTCTCCCGAATTAGCCGGGGAAATTGATTAAAATTAATTGGAGTAGAGAAACGTAGATCACATTTCTGACGCTTTCTCACTCGGAAATACGTCCGATTTACAAAACTTTCAATTCGATCGATCGATTAATTCTTAAAATTGTTGGTATTGGCCCGAATTGTCTGTATCTTTTAAATACATAAATAATCTACAAGTGGAACGGAATTATATCTATAAATTTCGTAATTTAGATTCGCAGGCACGAGCATTAATCACGATAATAATTACCGTAAACGCTGCATCATCCGACCAATTAATTTCGAAGTCGTCTAATTACACGCTACATCGAAACACATTTTCAACTCTGATTTATAACCTCACCATATCATCCTTCACCCGATCCCCGTTTTTCCAATTCGTTTCCAATCGCGAATATTTATTTCAATCTTGGCAATATTAATAATATACGTACGTTGGACGAGTCAGACGCGTAGCCTTCGTCCATGAACACGTCCACGTACTTGATAAACATCTCGATCTCGAAACTATCGATCGCGAAAATAACACCAACCAACGTTCCTTCGACGCGAGGAGACAATGGGGGAAGCGAAATCGTGAGGAGCACCGGCTGCTCGCCCCGCGACTGACAGACTGAGAGGCGAGCGAGATTTCGCGCGCAACACACGGCCGTGATACGTCTTTCGCGATCCAATGAATCATCGGTCCACCGGAAGCAACCGCTCCTCCACCTCGACGAGCCCGTGTCACCGTTTTTCTCACCTGTCCGCCTCTCACCTCTAATACCTACGTGACTCCTCGAGATCGCGCTTTTTATCGAGATGGAAAGTTTCCTTCCAAGTGGACTGAAAACACCTGTTTGGAACAGGTTTCTTTTTAATTCGGTAATTCGACAGTAATGCGACGGGTAATGTTGAAATTAACGAATTGGAAAATTACTGAATGGGGAGGGAGGGAGTTAATGGTGATGATAATTTTAAATTGAAATTTCACGAAACGAAGATCGAAACGGAATATCGAAAGGAAAAAAAAAAGTCTACATGTTTTTTCAAAATATATGTAAATTGTCCGATCTGAACTTTTGCATCCGACTTTTTTTTTAATTAGCATACAGAAGAGATTCAATTCAGAAGAGATTCGCGATAATTGGCAATCAGACGTTGCTTAAGCTATCGGGAAAATTTCTCTTTCACGGTGTAATTATCACAATTTAACGACTATCGGCATTCTTCGATGAGTATCACGAGGACATCCCTCTCTCTTTTTCTCCCGCGCCTCCTCACTCGTTTTCTTTCGTTCCGTTTCCCATCGTCATTGTTCCAAGCGACACGTACTTTTACGCGGCATTCTTATCCCCGGCACCGTTTCTGGCCGCCTTTTCGCACACTTTCACCGCGCCATGTCGATTATATTATTCCTAGAAATAGCTAGGAACATGGAACGCGGCGATTTGTACAGCCGCTATTCGATCGCCGCTCGATAATCGAGTCACGAGGCGCTGCGGCCCACCAACTCGCCTCTACTCCTCCACCTATGGAAACGAGCGTACGAAAACTTGGACCGCTTTCCATTTCACCGTTTCTTCCAACAACCTCCTCTCCTTTTTTTCTTTTTTGCAAGAATCGTGTCGAAATCGATTCGATACACAAGTATGCTCCTTCTCGTTGCGTTATAACGCACACTCACAGTTCTCACACACACACACACACACACTTTTCTCAACAGATTGTTACCGAGCCTACCAACGATCTAATCGAATATCTCTTCTTCCTTTTTTCAAACATTCCAGATCTTCCGACGGATCGTTCGAAGAAACGAGATAAACGTGAAATATTTCCAAAATCCCATATAACCCATTTCACGGAATACTGACACCAGAAGCTTTCACCCATTTTATACTCCCCTTTTCTTTCGACTAATCCTTATATATACATATATATATACATATACACACGTATATGTATATTCGAGAATCCTTCGCGTCCCTCGGATAAAAGAGAGGATTCGAAGGAAGCGCGTCAGTGGGGCGAAAAATCACCGAAATCCTGTCCACGATTCACGTGCACGTATACCACAAGAGAGAGATTCGTCTCGGGGCACAAAGAGTTCCGTCCCAATCGCGTCTCGAGATCAGCGAAATAAATACTCCTCCTTCGAGGGAGGAGTGGATGGATCTCGAGTGTGGATTTCTCCTCGTTCAAAGGAGAAAGGAGGGAGGGAGAGAGAGAGAGAGGAGGAGGAGGAGGAGAGAGGAGAAGATTCGGAGGG